CAGCAAACTCCTAAATACAAGTGATATATTACATTTCAAAAAGGTTTATTAGACTACAAGATAGATGAAACTAAGCATAAGTGCAATGCATGCACCAATTTATTCCAAATCCAGGAAAAAAGAATGAAAATGCCAAATGCCCACTAAGCTACACTCAAACTAGAAAAATAAATGTCATGTATCCAATTTGTTCCCAAGTCAGAAAAATCAATGCCAATTGTTGCAACCAGAAAAAAAAAAATGCAGCCGTAGCAACTGGAGAAAAACAACTGCTATAGATGACAAGGGAGAGAAGTTCAGAAATCTTCCCTGCCCCTTGTTCATTGCCTTAATCAAGCTATGGAAGGAAATGGCTTAACTTTGTGGTTTCCCTGGGATGTTAATCATCCCCATGTCTTTGTATTACAGTAGCTGGCCGTCATAGTCCTGGCCACCATAGATAGCTTTTGGCAACCAACTAAAAGGAAAGAGTTGGATACCCATGTTTATCTTTGATTTCTTTACCTTTACAAATGGAACTTGGGGACCCCAAATCAATCTGAGCTCAAATGTACCCCAAGTTTGTTAGTTCATAGGGTCATATTTCCATGATTCCCAAATGATTAGAGTGTATCACTTGCCATTCTGGTCACATACATTTTACCAGATCAGAGAAGCAAACAGGAACGCATAGTCAATATCACAAAAGATATATAGGGGAGGAAGCAAACAAACTCTGTACCCAAATTAGTGTGAAAGTGCTACCCTGAAAAGGAGCCAACAATAACCTTAAAGCAAGAAGTCAGGGAACGATCCAGGTTTTCATCACTTATTCAGGAACTACAGTGGGGGTGCTAAACCTCTTTCAGCCTAACAGCTGAATTCCATACAGAATTCCAGTTCTCAAGGCCCATGTTCTATGAGGAGCAGGGAATGCAAAAGGGCAGACAAAAGGCAAAAGGGAAAGGCCAAGAATGCCAGCACAGGGTTGTCCAAACCTCTTCTTGCTTTAGGAGAGGCATTTTAACTTTTACAAATGGAAAAAAAACCCCTGCATAAAAGACAGGAAGCCATCTAACAGCTGGAGGTTGTAGGGGAGAAAGGGATGGGACTGGGGAAGGGTTATGGCCATTTGGAGAATCCTGGAAGACGATATTTGGTGCTCAGATCTGAAGTTTTCCACCCTTAAACTAGAGCTTTAATTGTACATTAATACGCCTCCTTTCCATTAATGATAAGATCTTAAGAGTAAACAAGGACTCTTCACTCACTACCATGCAGTGGTCCCACATTGAGATGCTCCCATGTACAGAGACATGCATTGTGCCCCAAAATCAAAAAAGTAACTCAGTAATGGCATTTTCTACTTTGTATCAAAATCTAGCAGATAACTTGCTGTTTGGAAGGGGTATTAACACCTTTCCTTCTATCAGTACAAATCATGAATTACTGAAATGGGCAGTGTCCAGATGAAATCAATAAAATATTCAAACTATGTATCTATAGTTCTTCGGTTTATCTGTTTTTAGATGCCAGTTCAGTTATAGTTTCTTACTGCAATCTTTAAGTTTCCTAAAAGGATAAAAAGCCAACATTAAATATGGTGCCTGCTCCTAATGATGCATAGTCACTTTCATTTTTCAGTTTATGTGCTGTTTCACTTGTTAAAGAAATTGTCCCTTCTCTTTACAAGTCTCAGTGAAGCAGCCTTGATAGAAGTTCTGCAATCTGTTTAAGCAAATTGATTGCTTCGTTGTTTAATTGGTTACAAACCAGGCTAGCTGATTTCAGAAGCCATATAATTTGGGCACATACTCACCATGAATGCATGGCTTGATATAGGGCTAGCATCAAAGGCAGGCACGGTCTGATATCTGCCAAAGCTCCACAGGCCAGCAAGGGCCACTGACAAAAGCCCCCTAAATTTGCTCCTTTGCTTCACTGTGACAACATGCTTGTTAATTTGCTCTAGCCCAGGTAACAGTGATGGAGAAGGAGGAGCCGTTAGTGTTCACTAGCTTTCTGTTAATAACTCACTAGTAAGCAAGTAGTAGCAATGATGGGAAAGAGGATAAGGAGTCATAGCACCCAATGACGGTGGCAGTGAGAATGCAGACTTGGTCAAAGAGGAGGCCCATTGAGGCGGTCTTACCCCAAACTGAGGTCCCTCAAACCCTGGGGCATGTAGTGGCTTCATCAAAATGTGCTGGGCCTACAGAATGAGCCATGAGCTTGGAAGTTTGATTGTCCCAAGTTCCATGCTGGGGAAAAGTATAATTGACTGCAATGCATTCAAAATTACAATCTAATCACAAGAGTGATTAGAGGAAAATTGCAAAAGTAATTGTCAGTACGCCAAAAGGTAGACTAGCTTATCAATGGGGCAAAAAATACTATCTGAACAATTGGACTAGGAAAGACAAAACTGAATTAGGAAATTATAAGAGGAAAGGGAACAGATTGGGAAGCTACAGTTTATTTCAACCAACTTATCGTCCACTTTATCTTTCACTATCTAGTTAGATGGAATATCTCAAATGCTGAAGCTCCTACAATCAAACTATACCTTCAGAAACACCACAGGACAACATGCTTTATTATCTCGTGCAAAGCAGTTTTTGCATAAGCAAGGATTTAGACATGTAGACATGTAACTCCTTCCCTGCTGCAGTCTGCAGTGAATACAGTCCAATTAGAACTGTACCATGGAACACTTTTGAAGGGAATATTTAACTCTAATGTTACTTTGAACAAGAGAAAACCAACCAACCAACAAACGCTTACATCTGGAGGATAATATTAAATGCCAAACTGGAATACGATATGTCACTTCTTTATCTGTCAGTGGTCCACATCCCAGCATTTAGAATAAAGATCTCAGAGTGCAGGATGCTATTTTGTAACAATATAGGCAGAACTTTCTTCTTGACCTCCAACCATCCATATACTGAACAATATACCACCCAAAATGATAACAGCTGTCCACGTATACCATTTTAATCTGTGTAAACATAGAATCCTTTTAGGAGCTGTAATAAGTCATTTGCCTGAATAATTTTATGGCATGGTATTCTATGCAAGAAGTATCTAAATAGTCTAGTTTTTGCCTTTTAATTTCATTTGCTGCACCAGTCTTCAGGGGAACAAAATAAAAGCAAAACAATTCCAAATGCATGCAAAACCAAATCTTATTTTAAATATTGTTAACCATTTATCACTATAATTTTTATAATATGCTTATTTTCAGCACCGTAAACCAAGATATGGGAAGCAGTGCCAACTTCATATTCCCAAACTATACAGTAAAAATATTAGTATCTAATGTCTTGTAACATTCATTGCAAAACTCAACTTCTGAAGGGAGAAGTTAGAGTGTAACAGGCCTGGAAGCATCAGTATCTACATATGTGATAAGCACTGTACTTTTATTTATGTTGATTAGATATAAGATAGTGATGCGACTTCTGATGGTAGTTTCCAGAACTTACTCACTGATATTGTTAGTAGTCTTAAGTCAAAAAATTTGCAAAAGTATTCTTAGATCCGATTCACACATTATGGTGGCAAACTGTGGATTCATTAACCATGATTTGCCATGGTGTGTGCTATGTTCTGTGTCCATATTCCGTCCCCAGATGGGTTGATTGGAGGTTGCTATGTAATGTCAGAATGTGTACACTCTTTTGTGGCTATAATGCATCTACAATTACTAGTTTGGTTAACTGTAGTTTAACTTGCGGTGTTTGGATTTGGATGACATGTAGGAACTCCCAATTGATCTCATCCAGTCATGGGTTAATTAACCTACAAATTGCTGCTGTTCCATGAGAACAGTCCTCGTATATATAAAGTTAAATATTTTTGTATCCTACAGAGAGATTCACAAGCCATTTCTGTTTGGATAGTTGGCTCATTTTGAATTAGATGGTCTGAAAACTGGCCTATGGTTTTTCCAGAATAGCCATGTAACTGTCTCCTATCAAACACATCCTCTTGTGTACCAACAGGAGGGAAACAATTCTATGCAAAAATTGGCACATGTGTCTATTATCATGTGGTCATGCACTGCACAATATTCAATTGTCTTTCCCCACACATTTAAACAAGAGAAAATGGAGACATATGTGATCTTCACATGTGATTACGTGCATGGGAAACCCAGGATTTTATACATTGTGTTGGCAGGAAAACCATACAAAAAGATGCCCTAAATATTTAGGAATTATAAAATTAATACTATTGATATGGAACTTAAATCAGATTCACATCTATAATAAGTGAATCAGGAACTGAGAGAGGCCTCTGGAACTTCATTCATTTCCTGCCTTTGGGAGATTATGACCTGAAATGTTTTTGCATTCATGAAGATTGATTATTGCAGTGTTTCATCACAGCATGCTAAATTTAGCCTTTGAACCCATCAACACTAGCGTGAAGTACAAATGAGGTCAAGTTAAGAAGCAAGCTAGAAGCATTGGTGAAATTAATTTTTCTTGCCTAATCTTCAACCAAAATATTGTGTTTTATTCTAGAAATGACACTACTTTTGTCATTGACAGAAAGAATGATGTACATTTGCTTAAAGCAGTTTAATTGCTCACTTCTTCCCATGTATTTTTGGATGAGAGATTGCCAACTCTAGAACCAGAGTGAAATACAGAGCACACCAATATTAATTGGGAGCAAGTGCTTCCTTTTAGAACTTAAATTTTGCTTTGTCAGAATAATGATGTTGTTCTACTATATTAAAAAATGCTCCTGTGACATGAATCTCAAATATTGTGTAGTACCTCTAAGTGGCACTGACATACTCAAAATAGATATTGGGGGTAATTATGATAAACTACACAACAGTGCTATTGTCGAGAATATAATTTATCAATCCTGTGGTCCCCATCATTCATGCATTTACAGTTTGGGAATACAGTGACTTCAAAGAATAATAATCCATAATGGCAACATTCTCAATATTTCATGCTCACTAAACAAAAATAATAGTCATAATACCCATAATAAAAAGGTTTGTTGTATAACTGGAAAAATGTAAAATTTTATTCCAAGAAAATTAACAGGCTACACAGGTAAATTTTGGCAAATGCAACTTTATATTGAAATCCACACATCTGTTATCTTAAAGAAGGAAAGACTCACAGACTCTAATGTATTTCTAAAATACTAGAAATCATATTATATGCTTTCACAATTTAAAATTGAAATAATTTGAAACAACCAATACACCAAAATGTGCAGAAAGTATAAACAAGACTGTGCCTTCAGTAGAATAAATGCTTCACATGTTGTGCAAGATATCTTACTAAGGCTGCGGTCTTCCCATGACAGCTGTCATTAAAATATAAACATACATTGACGGCCTGTGTATCTCAGAACAAACTAGAATGGGCAACACACCTAGGTGGGGTGGGGTGGGGGGAAGCCCATATCATCCTAGTGATGAGCATACTGATTTGGGGAATCATGGGAATCAAAAGGAAAGAGGGAATTAAGTGATCATTCATGCACTCCCAACTGACAGACTGGACTTAACCATTTCACTTTTCTTTGCTTATTTTCAAAAAATGCTAAACAAAATGGAAGCAACTAGATAACCCTTTAAGGCAACATGTGGTTTATTCTGTGTAGTGATTACTCCTTAGTTATGATCAGATAATCTCATTTATGTTGCCTAACAGACTGATATCTAGCTTTTGAAAATATAAAATGTATTCAATAAATATTGTAGCAAATCAAGATTAAAAAAACCCAGAAATTGAATACATAAAACACAGTGCACAATTATATGCCAGTAACATTTTACCCTGAAAGAAAAGAAAAATATTATTTAGTTTAAAAAACAAAGAATGTACTCAAAAGTAAAGTCTAATTTGAAGAAAACCAAAACCAAACCTGGAACACAAAACTGCTTTGGAATGCTCCCCAGAACTCACAAGGCAAACAGAGGTGGGATGATAATTCAGTATTAGATGGCACATCTCCCATCAGTTACAGGACTTAACACAGTCCCCAGATTTTAGTCTTTGCAAAAACAATAATTGTATGAAATGATTTAAAGATCATCCAGTGTCTAAGATTAGTTTCATCAACACATTAACCTCATGTCAAACTTAACTGATTCAGATGTCCAATGCTATTCTGTGATGGTCTTACTTTACGTAGTGATATATACAGCACAGAGCGCTGATATATTTAGCACCTGCTACTCTCTGAATCATTATCTAGATTTCAACCACATCAAAGCATTTTAGGGCAGTGGTTCAGTCCTTTATTCTTAATTACAAACCTTCACGAGTGGTCAGCAGGAACAAGTTTAGGTTTTAAAATAGGATTAGAGATGAGCTATTGCAAAGATTGCAGAATGTTGGTTGCCCAAATCCTTACAACTGCTGACATCCCCTTTTGGGTTGTTGTTTTTTCTTCTCAAAACATGGCAAGAGGCCATCATTGCTTAGTAGAGAAGGGTAGTGTTTTCACAAGGCTAAAGATTTTACGGATGCTCCCTCATATAACACAGTAAGGTTCCCTTGGTAACCTGGATTTTCTGCAGTAAAGAAGGGTTGTGCTGAAACAGCGCCTCAGCTCCCTGTTGGAGAAAATGCAGACAAAAGGATTGATTCCAGCTTGGGCAAAACTCATCCAAACAGCAGCCGTTAGAAATCCCCCGGGAACCACAGGCCCTCGCGCAAAAACTCTCCAGTAACAGGCGACCAAATAAGGACCCCACAAGGTTAGAAAGAGGAATGTCATGATATAGAACATTCTGCTGATTCGCTTTTCCATTTTGAACTCATCCAAGACAAGGAGCCTTCTCCTGCCGGTGGTGTTGGCATTCTGCCTGATCCCCAGCAAGGTTGGTGGCGTGGGACCCCTTCCAAATCCAGCCAGCCAATTCGCAGCTGCTTGACCACTGGCTCCAGGACCATGAAACGTCCAGTTCTGGCTCACCGCTGCAACAAACTGAACTGGCTTCATTTTCCTGCGATCATGAACAAAAAAGATCAGCTTGAGGTAGACAAGCTGTGTGGCTAGAAGGATAAGAGCAAGAAGCAGCATAAATCCCAGAGAATCATTGGCTCTGAAGGACCGATGCTGAAAGGTGCATTGGTCTTCCTCCCTAATGAATGAATAGGTGCCCACATCCAAAACTGGAGGGAAAGCCATTGCTACGGATAGGGTCCACACCATACAAATCACTGCCAAGCAAGTCCAAAAGGTCAGTCTTTTTGTATAAAAGCGGTGGTGAGCGATTGCTAAGTATCTGGTGACACTTATGCAGAATAGCATGAAAGCGGTGTGGAAACAGGACAGAACCCCCAAGAAGGCAATCACTTTGCAAGTGAGAGTCCCATATGTCCACAACGAACCATTTTTCACGGAAGTGAAAACAAATGGGAAACAAATTGCAGATCTGAGGATGTCTGAGCAGCAAAGATCCAACAGGAAGTAATACGGAGCTCTATGCAAGGTCTTATCTTTGACTAGCAAAATGGAGATCAGAAGGTTACCCACCACACTGACTCCTATTATGAAACCCAGTGAAGTCAATTTCAAAAATGCTGTTAAAGGGGAAAGATTTTGTAAAATGTTGTCAGCTGCATGGCTGTAGTTCGCCATAGATAGATGGATGATATGAATATTGCCTCAGTCAAGTCTCATGATCTAGATATATGAACAAGGAAAAAATAGATCCATACATCTTACTGAGAATGTATTCCAAAGGCAGAACTGATCTTGTGTCTAGTTACACTGTACATCCTCTTTTCTTCCTCCTGATTTGTCATGCCATCAAAATTTCTGGAAAAAAAATAATCAAGTGATCAGTTCTTCAGTCAACATACAAATGAAGTGCTAACCAACATGTTAATTTATGGAGAGCCAAAGGAAGTTGCAAGTTGGAGTACTATTATTTGTCTGAGGGATATGCAATGAGAACTGCACATTTACTATGCAATGCATTAGGTTTATTCAGGCTTCCTCAGATTGGGCTTGTTTACAATCCAATTTCTTGGCCAAATATAGAATTGTGCTGTTCCTGCCTCCACACAGCCTGATTCCTACATCACCATTCCAGCACTGATATCTTTGAAAAATAAAAAGTCAAGACAGACTGTTGAAAACCTGCATAATGCCCACCTTTGCTGTTTATATTATATGCTTCAGAGGCAGATGCTGTGTTGATATGGAATACATCCAAAAGAAACCCTGCAGAATGCATGTTTCCTAACCCAGCTCACCCAAGCATATTAATCACACCCTGCTAGTTCATCCACATTGACAAAAAGACAACAGAATCCTGCGTTTTCTTTGAATCAGTCTTCTATTCCCATCCCCCAAGACTTTTAAATAAATGCCTATGCTAAATAGCAGGCAGCCCTGTATTTTATGGGCTTCTGTGTTCTTTTTATTGCAATGGGGGTGGGAAGGCACCAGCAATAATGAATGCATAATGTGTGTGTGTATGTCTGTGTATAGGAAGCACACCCAAGAATAACATCCAGTTGCTCAGACATTATCTGGACTGTTATGAGACTAGCATAAAACGCAAGGGTCTGCATCCTGAAGTCTAGAAGTGATCCTAATTCTGGCTGTCTGAAACGTAAGGAACAAAGAAAATAAAGCCGCTCCTCTGCTTTCAGGGATCTTGCAATGGGAGAGCCACTCAATCAGGCAGGCTGTTCGCCTATTCCCATGGAGTGCATCTCCTGTGCTGTGCCTTCTTAGGACTACAAACAGCATCTTGACAATGGATTCAAGCAAAAAAGCCTTTCCACCATTCTTAGCTGGCTGCTGCTGCTGTGTAAACAAGAGCCTGACCAGATCATGATGGCATTCTTTTAAAACACACACGCCCCAAAAAAGCCCACCACCGCACGCAGACACACACCTTGAAACCAGCTTCTCTACCTCCCCCCACGCCCCATTACATGCACATACATACACGGCGAGGAGAGGCAAAGCAGAGAGGGTCGCTTCTGTGCTCGAGCACCAGATCGCAGAGCGCCTACTCTTGTCTGCCTACACTTCCATTATGCAGCTGATTATAACATTAAAAGAAAAACAACAGCACCACCACCGCACAGCCAGCCCAGAGGATGGAAGACGTCTCTCCACCCCAGTCTAACATCCAATACACCTTCTCCACACTACACATATCTGCATGCATGCACGCGCGCGCGCACACACATACACACAAGCCTTCTTTCCCCCATACCTGTTGGTGCTGGAGAAAGGGAGAGAGAGAGCGCGCGCCCACCCCTCACCAGATCTTCTTCTTTCTGTTAGCTGGTCTTTTTTTCATCCCTGCATTTATTTCTTTATTTCCTGGGTACCTCGGCGGCTGGGGCTCTGTAGTCTGTGGGCTCAGCCAGCGCATGCTCAGTCAGCCTCCTCGAGCGCCTTGCCTCGTCTTCCCCTGTCGCAGCGGCACAGTCTCTTCCACTAACGCAGCCGCCGCCGGCTCAGTGAGGGCAAGACAGCCCGATAGCAATAGCAGGCGGCGGCGGCGGCGGGATGCTGCTGTTGCAACTCTCAGTCCAGGGCCCGGGTGGCCCCTTTCTCCTGGAGAGCGAAGAGCCGGGCTGGCATTCAGCAATTCAGTAGCCGCCTCCGAACTCGCCTGCCTTCAGCACAGGAGAACCTCTTTCCTCCCGCCTTTTCCCCTCCCGCCACCCCCACTCCTGATGATGACTGCATTGTTATTGCACTTGGCAGAATATGGGTGGGAGGAGGGACAAGCATTTGGAGGCTCCCTCCTGCTTCTGAACTGTATTCATCTGATTCTCCCCTTGGCAAGGAAGTGGGGAATTTCCGTGTACTATTATTTGCTTTAATTGCAAGAAACGAGTACTTTTAAATGAATAATAATAATAGCAGAAGACGGTAGGAATTATTAAGGCCTATTAAGGCATTAGAACGACTAATTAATGTAGGTCCGGACCTCCTGTTTTTCTCATTTTGTGTTGGGGGTTTTAGTTATTGTGACATTCGTTTCAGCCTGAAACTGGAGCAAGGCTTACAAGTTTAGATACTGAACTGGAAGAATTCCAACTTCCAGGGGCAGCATGGTTGTGTGTCTGTATTCATGCGCGTGTGAGAGAGGGTAAAGTCCCTTTCGGGGGGGGGGGGGGGACAGGTGCTGAGCTCGGCCCTCCTATTAGATTTATAAAATAAAAATAATACTGCATGTTGATGCTCTACTGTGTAGTTTCTCTGAAGTACCTTTTATGGATATTATGAACAGAACTTTCAAATAAACACATTTAGAATTTCAGCCACAAACAAACACTTTCCAGTTTATGTTTCAGTTTTAATTTGTATGTGAAAAATGGTAGCAAAGTCATAGGTGGGAGGCTGGGGAGGGGAGTTACTGCTGTTTCTCCTCTGGTACCCCCAAACCAACCTCACCTGAAAGAGCAGTTCTCTCAATTTTGCTAGTAGATGCTGAATTTAGGAACTGGCAAAGTAAGCACATGATATCACTGAAAAATAGATTTATTTTTTGATGCCTAAATGTAATCATATTACTTGTGGGTTGGGTAGCATAGTGTGGCATCTTAGAACTAAACTGCACAAGATTCCTTCATAGGTATATGCCAGATTCTAGAGTAAGCTGAATACAAATATGACAAGCAAAGAAGAGGTATGAGGTGAGTTGGACTATACATTTAGATTAGTTCTGGGTCATGTAGCTCCTCCAAGTGCCTCATGTTAAGAAATCACTTCTGGAGTGAAGAGCCTTTTCTGTTAGTGGGGGTAGCCTGCATGATTTAGAGGCAGTTTTATGCCCAGATTGCTAAATCATGCGGCTAACCTTCATGGATAGGAAAGGATCTCAACCATAGAAGTTAGTTCTCCACATGAGGAGGTAGGAGGAGGCATATCACCTGGGAGAGGCCTAAAAGTGCTGCTTCACAGCCATGTTGGTTCATTGTGTGAATACCTACTGCATGAGACTTGCAAATGCATAAATGAATTATTTGTATGGCAAGGAAATTTTGTGTATGTGCTTCAGGCTTTTTAGATTAAAAGAAATTAGTAGTAGTAATACTACATTATTATTGCTAATAATAATATAATCACAGAGTTGGAGGGGTCCTTGTAGGCCATCTAGGTTGTCCCCTGATTGATGCAGGAGATCTGGAGCTAGAGGTTTCCCAAAAGATGGCTGTCCAGCATTTGCCTGAAGATCTCCCTCAAACTCTGGCTGGTTTTATTATCAAATGTTTCTTGCCATCAAGAAACTTCTAACATTCAGCTGAAATCTACCCTCCTGGAACTTAAAACCTCTCTAGGAATTATGAATTCCATAAGATATAACCCTTGAACTAAAAGAAGGTCAACACTGCTTTAGATTCAGGGTGGACGACTACTATCCACAGAATGCCATTCCAAAATGATAAGTATATTTGAGAGGAAAACCAAAACAAAACCATGCTCACTCATTCTGTTAGATGTCTGCTGAATTTTTTGCCATCACTTTTGGCAGCTCAGGCTGAAGTCTTTGGTGAAACCCTAAAGAAAAGTTTCATTTTTTGCTTCCCAGATTCAGACTGAAAGGGTGGAAGGTAATATCAAGAGGTCATTGCTAAGTTATCTCAGGATTCACAAAAGGAGGTTGTCTCAGTAAGATGGAGAGTTAAAAGTGATTTAAGGCTTTGTAGGTTGAAGGTAGCACTTTGACTTGTGTTTAAAAGGAAATAAGAAACAAGTACAAATCCTGAGGGACTAGTGCAATGCACTTTTAACCACATGACCTGAAGGCAAGTGATGACAAAGACATAGTTCGCACATAAACGTTACTTGACATCTGATTAGCATCCACTGATGTGAACTGAACACACGGAATAACTTTGCATTTAAGATTATGTGTTATACCTGAGATAAGCAGGTTTGATGTGCAAGCTGTCCTTTCATACTGCAGTCATCCAGTGATGACCATGTATGTGCAAACCAGGCCAGATATGGGCAGGGCAGAATTCACGTTTGTGAATCTACTTTTCCCTCACTCTTTTTGTAAAAGAACCATAAGATCCACCCATGGGAGCCTGATGCAAAAGATGCACACTTAAAAGAATACTGAGCCCAGGAATTGGTTTTAAGTAGCATAACTAAACCAGGCTTATCCTCCTTCCATACAAAAGTCCAGTCTTTATTACTTTTTCTTTCATTTTCACAGTATAAATTAGTACGAATGAGAGGGGTATTCCTGACATTGTCAAACAACTTGGGGATCAGTAGCCCTTGCAAATCATTCAGAAAGCTCCAGCCCTACCTTGCCCATTCCTTCTGTAGACCTTTTGATCTCTGAACAGTTTTCTAAGGCAAGCACATCTAAAATTCACTGCAGTAGACCCCTCTTAATGGTATGCTGGTCTAAATGAGGGTTGCTAGGTTTGATGTTGCTCTAGTTAACTGCAACACTAACTGCTACTAAGCAGTTTCACATTGTCTATATAATTTTAGGTCGAAGTATTTATTTGCTGCCCTGTTTGAAAGTTGTTAAAGCAGAATGTCAGGACTCAATACAATTTATTCCCATGGATTAGCTTGTCTGTATAGGTACTCAGTATTCTAGTCGAATTCAACAAAGCTCTTAAACAGATGAACACGCACAATCC